AAAAGTGATTAAGAAACAGCGAAGGTAATTGAATTTTCAATAACCAACAAAAGCTACTTGTGTATACTTTGTTCATGTAGACCCATGTACTTGGATAGCTGTTTGTCCAGTCTAGACAGAAGCATTTTTTCTGGGCCTTCTCTTGATGCCTGGAAAAGGCTCAAAAACATACTAAAGCTATACACGAACTGTTTTAAACTCAAACAAAATTTACAATTTTGAATATCCTTATTACTTATCGATCACAAACACCGTTCAGTCCTACTTCATCATTCAATTGAAGTGAAATATGGTAGTATCTACAAGTCAAAACATGGAGATTCTTTGTCTTCTGAGAAAAAGACTTTCAGTCAGAAAAGTTCTCACTATCATCGTCATCATCCTCCCATCCACTGTCATGTGCTTCACTGTCGTCCGATTCGCCATGCTCTTCATCTAGGCAGAAGACTTTTGCTACCACTTCTTCTTGTTCTTTCTCCTCAATTTGAACTATTTCCTCTTCCGTTTGCGTACAGGCATCTGCTAGGGTAATCTTCGGGAAAACATTACATTATTACCTGCAGCATCCTTTTTCTTTTTCTTGTTTGTCACTGTCAGCGACCACATCTCCCGTAAACCACGCCGTCGCTTTTCTGCCATTTTGCCGCGTTCTTGGAGACGAAATGTGGCGTTTTATATAGAGTGGCTTCAGAAACCGCTAACTACAATGTTCCCTGTAACTGAGACCCAGTCTTCGACTCGTCCTCAACGTTTACTCAACGTATTACGCAGAGAACGTATCTTAAAAGCAGACTCAAGCGATGTTTTGGCGAAATTCTCCAGAAAAATTTCAAGTTTGCTTGCTCGCAACAGCTTTGTGAACACTTACCACTTTTTTTCAAAGGTTTTATTTATCATATAATTTACCTAAGGGAAAGTAGGCGTCGCAAATCAAAAAGTTGCCGTCGGATGCGACGGCCAACGGCTGATTTTGAAAACACTGTGCACACGGCTAAAATTAGCTCTGCAGGCACAAGATTTTGTCCAGTTCTGCCATACTCTGCAGACTGGAGACCCCATAACTTTATAATTATTTTACGGTATACCTTGAGTTTAGTAGCAGTATAAGGCTCCATAACATGTCTGATGTCCATCTCAAGCTGCAAGACAGATTTCCCAACCTCACCCTTGTGCATAACAAAACTGTGTGGAACTTTGTTTACATCCTCTTCTGTGATTTCTTGGTGTGTCTTCCTCTTTTTCTGAAAAAACCCAAACAGGAGAGGCAACAAAATTGTTAATCTCCTGAATAAGCACAAGGAAAAAAAACCTTGAGTCGTTCTATTGTGTGAGGCCTATTATGTTATTGTGTCAGGGCTAGGGATTATTGTTGTGTTCTTTGTGATGTAACTCGAGACATGCTATTCACTTGGTATATGGTGCACCAGCCTAAAAATCCTTACAAGTTATTACTTCTCCTGGCTATCTCTCTAGATCTTTTCATGTCCGTTGTTTCTTCTTGACTCAGGAACAAACGCAAGAAAATTAACCACATGTATAACAAGTAACCTTGAAATTCCAGCACGAATTGCCCGGAAATTTAACCATGGAAGAAAATGTTTGGTTGTTCTCTGTCTAGTGCGGCTGTTCAAGCCTACACGAACGCCGCTGTACATGTAAAGAAAATACCTATATATACCTAATCTTGCCACTTATTGTATTTACAAACTTACCCTGCGCGTTTTTCCCATTCTGAACGTATTCTAGGGTATTTACTTCCAAGATTTCTACCTTTAATCACTTGCCAAAGACTCTTTCCTATAACACGCGCGTGCACAAAACGTTCCAGGCGTTTCACTTGGCCGAGATGAATGATATTAAAGAGGAATGGTATCCATACTGTCACCAGTCTCTCGCAATCATAACCATCATGGCGGATTCTTCGAACAACACAGTGCAAATTGAAACAGTGTCAAAAGGGGTGGCAAAGAGAAAGTATTTGCTGCTGGATGAGGATTTAGAGGACTTGAAATACCAGTTGAAAGATAATCCTGTAAATAAAAGTTATGGTAAGTGTAAATGAGTATTTAGGCTGTCAGACCCCTCTTCCATGGAAACCCTTTGACGGATTCATTTTCTGGATCTCTAGGATTTCCCTTTTATTCCAATTTCGAACCTATCCTCTTTCAGCCGCCATGAAAATATTCAAATTATCAGAAGTGGAATCTGTTGCTATAAGAAAATGGGGGAGTATGGAAAAACTTGAAGCTGAACAAGAGAAGAGGAAACAGCAGAACTCTAAGTTGGAAAGAAAAAACGAAGAGGAGAAAAGACATTTCTGGGACAACGAAGAAATATTTAAACCTCTTGAGCATTTCATGGTAAACCTAGAACTTCCGGAAGAACGTGTTTCCTGTTATTTTAGAGAGAAAATTGATGACATTCTTGGTGAGTGTTAGAATTACATGTTAAAAATGCATGGTTCAATTTGACCTGCAACCATGCCCCCCCCCCCGGGCATACCCCCCGGGGATTTGCAAGATTTTTTCTTTCTTGGTGGTCTATTCCCCACCCTCGGGCATGTAGGAAGAGCAAGTCCCACTCCTGATCGACCTCATATAAGTTTTATAGGTGCATCTTTTTGAAAGCAATATTGATTTCCGTACAAAGGAGAAGTTTTCATAACTTTTATAAACATTTTCTAGAGTTTATTGAGAGAAGGATACTACTGTCATAATCTAGGTAAAACGTGACCAATAAATTTGAAAACAGAAAAGGAAGAAAAAAGCTCTGTTTTTATCGACTCCTTGGTAGAACACTTCATAAGGACGCTCTTGACTGAATCTCTGTTTATTTATGTTTAAATATTTTACACTTAATGTCCGATCCTGAGGGAAACAGTTAGTTTTGTTTTCCCGAGAGTCCTGATGTTTCCCAAGATGAAGTCGAGGGAAACATCAGGACTCAAGGGAAAACAAAACTAACTGGGTTCCCGAGGGATGTGACGTTAAGTGTTTTGTTAGATTTCTAGACTTTCACTTCAACAGCAACAATAGATTAACTGGAGCGAACCAAAACAGTTGACTCAGTACTTAAAACAACACAAATTTAATTCTCAAAACCACTGAATGAATGATTTACAAAGTACTTTCCTTATATTATCTGCATCTTTTTCCTCCACTACCTGCTGTTTCTCTTCTGGGATAGCTTAAAAATCGTTACTTTTTAGCTTGAGGCTTCGTGTTTGTGCTGTTGTGTTCATTCACGAAAAGAAAATTGGCAGTGTTTTTCCTAACATTCTGTCACACCACTTTCCACCATGCTTTGATCACTTGCTGTAAATTATGTATCCCATCAGCCGGGTACATTGCTTAATGTATCATGATCGGGATACATTTGATTTTAGTCAAGTCCACATGACCAAGAATCAATCAATGGCAGTCCCTGTGAAGTCTAGGAAATAATATAACAATGATAAGTTATTCCCCTTCAACCACTCTCCAACAAATTCCTGCATTTTCCCTTGAAAATACGTAGTGTTGAGGTCCGCAACCATTGTGAAAACTGCACGAGAAATCACAAGTACTTTGCAAAATCAAAGAGAAGATATTTGTGATTTGCCTCACCCCCTCAGTCCCACCTAAGGAAGCATGGGTTTGAACACATGCCCATGGTTCTTTTCTTGCACTTCAGTTTTAATAATCCTTATATCAGAAAGATTTATCGCATTTTGGATTAGCTAGGGAGGCCAAGGTTAGGCAAAGGGTGTGGCAGGGGAGGAGGGGAAATGAGAGGGAAGAGAGGGTGTGAAAAAAAAGTTGATAGAGAAAGAAAGGGAACAAGGAGAGAGTGTCATGCCTATAATACTGTACAGGGAGGTTTTTTTTCAGGGGCCCCCTTTTTAAATCAGGCAACACATGGATGGCAATGTTTTTCTACAAGTCAGATATCAGCCGTTAATTTTTATTCGCAAGCTAATAGTAATACACAACAAGAATGCTAATCCTGCATATCATGAATAGTACCATGAGTTGTGGAAGTTTGGTGTTTATAATCTTGATAGGGTGCTCATTTGTCTTACATGACAACTTTGAAGCTTTTGCTTTTACTCCTATGGTATGAAATTATTAAATCAGAGCACTGAAAGAGAAAAAAGATGAACTTTTTGACATTCAAGATATCAATATTGTTACTGCTTACAATGTGTTAGTTTGCTATTATTTTGGGTCATATATTCCAAATGTGTTATGAAGAGGATGCTGTGTCATCATGACATACCATTTGTTTAACAGTAGCTAATCAAAGTTTCAGTTCTAAATGCTTTCAATCTCAAACTTCCTAAGAGACCACACACTGCTATGTTTCTTCCTAGAACCCAGTGCAAAAGATGAAAGCCTCATTGACTGTGATGTAATCCTGTGTTTTTGTGACTGCCTTCATAATATTCCTCCTGACTGTAGGTATACTAGCTGAACAACATTGAAATCAATTGTGCCCAATAATAATAACTATTAGAAAGTAGATAATAAATAAATTATTATTATGTATATACCTACTTGTAAAAACTAATGACACAGTAAGACAAATTAATGCAGGGTCCATGATTTTCATAGGAATATATGATTTTCCACAGTTTACAAAAATTCATAAGTGGTGTAATCATTTATGAATGGCAAGGAGATGCTGATCTGATTTTCCAAATTTTCGAAATTCCCAGCAGTCACTAATATAGAAGTGATCTAGGTTTCCTGAAAGATGAAGTTTGGGAAGTGAAAGGAATTTTGTTTTCTTTCTCTTCCCTGCCCTTCTTTTAACTACTTTCTAGGCAAAATACTTTGCAAAACAATGGACTGAACACTAAGCAAACTGATGATAATAATAATAATTTATTATTTGTTTAAATTTTTTTTTGTTTAAAATTTTTTTTTTCATGAACGCACCAAGAACAAATCCAGCTAGTGGTCAGGGCAGGACTTGAACTTGTTGTTCTACCGAATTACAAGTCCAGTGCTCTAACCGGTCTGCCACACTGCCCCCATAACGTGTATTTCCCAACATAAAAATTGTACTGCACGCTAACTTTAGCAAAATAATTTTATGTGCTTTAACAAAGTCTGTAGTCAGCTAATTAACTACACTGTGTAATATTACTATGTTTCAGTTACGGCTCGCAGAATATTCAAAGAGTTTCCAGAGGCAAGACAAGTTGACAAGGAGACACCTTATAATGAAAGACGAAAAATGGGACATTTCTCTTGGACTATAAGCAAGTCATTAAACAAACTCATTGTGAATTTTTACGTGGTGCATAAAGTATGTATTTTTAATTACTAAAAATTTATACTTTTAATAAAGACGCCATCAGCCATAAGTTCAATGAAAAGAACCCTCAGGGTTTGTAATAAGCGAACTATACGTGTATGCAGTCATGAACCTTCCATAAGGTACAAGGTTCTCCGCAAGCAGCTGGTGAAAATCGCCTTCTAGTCATCATAGAAGCACCTGTCACTAGCAGAATTTTTACGTTGCATTTGTTTGTTCATTTATTTTTTGTGGCTAAAAACAAACATGTGATAATAAAGCAGATGTGAGTGAAAGGTGGTCATTCAAAATGCACTGAAATACTCTTTTCCGGGCCCCCAAATTAAAATGTTCCAGGAGGAAACTCCTAGACTCCCCCTACAGTGAAAGGGGGCGACCAATCCTATACCTACCCCCACACGTGGCTGCTCTGTGGGAAACATGCTGTGACCCTTTTGATCTGATCTATTACTGCATACTTGATTTTTTTCTCCATAAGTTTTTTGGAGAACCCTGATAAGCTAAGGGACTACCCAAAATGTCAAAAGATTGGTAGGCGGTTTGTGGGCGGCAAAAAAACCTGGATTGGATCAACCCCCAGTAAGGTACTAAATGACAATAGGTAGGCGAGATAGGATTATGGCAGGGGTTGATCTAATCAAGGTTTTGTGGATGCTGGGCTTTGGTGGTCATTTACTAGAGTCATGGACCAACAGGGTGTCTCTATCAGTGAAACCTGTCTGACACAAATACTCATTCAGAGACAGTTTATGGCATAAAACTTCGGAGTAACCAGATAAGCATTGGCAAATTCATATACTCAATTCACATGTATAGTTCATACCGAGAATAAAGGGGAATCAGAAATAAAACAAACAAGCCTCGCTGTCTCCATTTAACATTATTGTTCATCAAAGTGGAGGTTCACACTATCCAGTTTGCATCATAAGCCACCGCAAGTGGTGGCTTATGGGAGGTTAGCTTAGTGACTAACAGTACACGCACAATGTGCCTGTGGTGTGTTTGGGCATATTTATAGGACAAAATATAGAGTTACAGGCGTGTGCCCCATGAGTCAGGACTAATGAGGAAAGATCTAGGGGTACTTTTCATTTACATGGAAAACAAGAAATTCCGGTCTGAAAATCAAATGGTTCATGCCATTCCCATTGGGAGGCTTCAGAAAATATGGGCTCTGATTTGAGGCAAATCAACTTTTCAGCTCTTTTTAGCCTCTTCAGCTGATTTTGATATACTTTGTGGTGGTTCGTTCTTCCACTCGTCAAATTGTGTAGTTTTATGTTTATGCACAAGATTTCCACCTGGCTGGTTTTTTGTAAATGTTAAGCACCCCTAATTTCCATTGCTCCGTGTTTTATGGTCTGTATTTAAAGTTGTATTTAGATCATGTTGAAGCTTTTGAAAGTGCCTTTTGTTTGTTCCCCTCCATAGATGCAAAGTGTTGACACAGACCTTGATGCTGATGTTTTGTTTAAGGTCTTAATTTTCTTTTTTTTTTTCTATTTTCTCCAGTGGAAACGCTTATCTCATAGACAGGCATCAACAATGATCAACTTTGATGCCCTCAGCAATGGGTTACGAAGATTCTCATCTTTATTGTCTAAAACACTCAAGAAAAATGGACGGCAACCAAACAGTTTATTGATTGGGACGTATGCACCATATAGAGTGAACTCTGAAAAATGTAAGTTGTTTTACTTTTCAGTATACGGTATAAATCAGCTGTGTTTTAAAGCGGAACCCGGAACTTCCTTAAAACGAAGACCTTGTTACAATGAACATTGCTGGTCGCCAGTTGGAGTAAAATATATGGGACAAGATCTCGATGTAGCGTGTAGCTTTGACTCAAGGCCCTGAAGGAATATTTAAGACAGCAGAAAATAACCACAAAAAATACGTTCAATAAAACTACTGGTAAATGGATGAGTTTTATGCAGGATAAATTGTTCAGAGGAGCATGTTTCACCAATGTTTCGGACGTTGCTTACTGCAGACTTCATAAGTTACGAAGTTTACAAAAGTTTGCAAAACTATTTGAACGACACTTGCATGAGCTTAAGCTTGCATTTTGTACATGTGAATGAAACTCGTTTAGATGCTCATGGCGTTCTTTTCTCTCTCTCTTTTAGTCACAAAAATGTTATCAGATAATATGGAGCATCCTGTCAGAATCTTTACCAACGTCAGAAAAGACGCAAAAACCTCGAAATAAATAAATGGACCTCAAATATGTAGCCTACTGGGAGAATGCGGAAAAATCAGCTATTTGTGTTAGTTATAATGGTTAAAACATAGTTCAGTTGTGTTTGAGACTTTCGTCTCATATTGAATTGATTAAAAACTTTCATCGAGAGCGTACGTCAACCACATTGCTTGTGTCAATTGAAACTAATAGGTGAACATGTTATTATTACCTCCATGTCGCCTGCAACTCTTATTTCTTTATTTGTCTAATTCGTTGATTGTCAGTCACGATTGTACAGCCATGGTCTTCATAACAACTACAAAAATTCAATTTTGGGCCACGTAAACGCTAACGGGAAAAATTCTACTATCATGGTTTTGGCCATTTTAAACCTCGTAAAACAATGACATGTCTACACTAAACAATGACATTTTCAAAAGGTCCTGTTTACATGGAGGTAGGGGACCCTAGGAAGGTGAGGTAACCGTACAGGTGTCCATATAATCTCTCATTTTAATTTGATCACGTTTACATGGTAGGTGGGGTGACCCGCCGCATTTTACCTTACCTATCTGTGGTCCCCCTCCTCCATGTAAACAGGCCCTTAGACTATGTCTAAACTATCTCGTATAGTTTATCATGTCGACATGAACAGCCATCCGGTCAGTATGGTATGAAAACTGTTTACACTGCAGTGGCAGATCCAGGGCAAGGGCCCGGGGGCCCACCCCCCTGGTATATCAGGGTCTGGATGACCCCCCCCCCCCCTCCCCCTATCTGAGGGTCTGTATCCGCCATTGCTCTGCGCCAGAGAGTGGCACAGAAACCAGTATCCGATATGTGGCGATCCACTTTCAAGATCAACGCGACGCAGCTTCGCTCCGTTACAGAACCTGCGCCGAAATCACTGTGTGAAGAGAAGCCTTATGAAGCCTTATCCGATATGGTTTTCGTGCCAGTGCAAAAGCTATACCGTATTGGGTATTGGGTTTAACTGGGTATGGTAATATATGATAACGAGTCTGAAACAATGAAAAATAACATTTAAACCAAGCATAAAATTGAACCACAACATAGACATAGCCTGAGGGAAAATCTCTTTATGAAGTTGATTTTTAATAATGGAAATTTGAACTTCGTTGATAAAGATTTTTCGGTTCCTCAATCTTAGCACGGCTCTTCAGATAATTTCCTGTAAGTTGGCTTTTTTTTATGATATAGGGTTTTAATGAATTCTAGAAATCAAATGGAAGATCGAAGGGCCTCTGCTCGTAGGATACGTGAGCTGCAATTTTTGGGAAACATGAGAGAGGTTCAATTGTGTCCCTCAATAGAGAGGAGAAGTGTGACGTCACGTTACCATGGTAGCACTATTTCTATCACAACTTTGCACGTGCATCACGCTATTTGTACATTTCTTTGCTGTCGTTGCACCACTACGATATGAAACTTCCTACTTTGAAGAGCCCGCTTTATGGAGTAGGTGAACACATACAAAAATTGTCGCTTTCTTTTTCTTAACTTAGATAACGATACATACGGTCGTAAAGAAAATTTCGTAAAGATTTGACAAATTAAATGAAATTGAAGATCGGTGAAGTTTAAAATAGTGCGAATAGACTTTTGAGTGACCTTTTCGGTTTTTTGTCATCCCAAATTTTTGCTACCATGGCAACGTGACGTAAGGACTTCTCCTCTCTATTGGCCAAACACAATGTTTGTAAGTCCCTTCCTAAAAAAGGCTACATGATTGCTCAACACACCCCATCCAGTTAACACTTCCTGTTATATAAAAAGATTCACACATAAGTGAAAAAGAATCATAAATTGGATATGTAATAGTTTTGTTCGGGAATACGTAGCGGTGCAGTGTGTTTGCGGTACATGTACAAGATTGGACTCTCCAGAGCAGATACAATTCGGAAACTGTAAAGAATTCCTTATAAGTGAGAGGAGCCTATCCAGGTAAAAATCTTATAAGGCTGGCAGATTAAACTCAAACTTTTCATGTGCCGAATATAATCGTTAGATTCGGCATATAAAGAGATCGGGCCTTAGTCGGTTGGTAGCGAGGAATTTGTTTATCCTTTTATGAGGAATTCTGCTCATTAGTGGTTAAATAGCTGGTAAAGATGGGTTTATTAAAATCAGTGCGGTCGCATATTTTTCCGCAAAAGTTTCAGCTAAATGTCCCTCTAATCACTGCAGGAAATCAATCTTTTCTTTGCGCATTCAAGTGTTTGTTTTTTTGAGGACTCTATTCGTCGTCATTTGTTTTACTGTTTATCATTCTGTATTTATTTTTTAGAGCCAAGATTTTTATCAGGTGTATAGTTGCGTCATGCTTTCCGTTTTAGTTCAGGTATTGATGCGAAAGATTCTTTGCTGTGCAAAAGTTAACTGTTTAAATGAAACAAAGAGAAGAAAACGATTTGGGTTCGTGAATTATTTAGATGGCTTCTTAAGTCTATAACCATCCACTGTTTGCATAAGACCACTTCTCCTTAAGTAACAAAACATAGTAAAGTAGAACCTCGATATAACGAAGGGCCAAGCGGTCTGGCAAAATATGTTCGGTATGAATGAGTGTTCGTTTTATCAAGGTTATTTTCCATATATTTACTATTACTGGCCGGGGGGCGAAGAATATCGTTCTACTGACTTTATACCGAGGACTTCGCCATAAGGAGACTCGTTATATCAAGGTCTTACTGTTTCGTGAACTGATTATTTTTGGATGAATTTGAGTTCAAGAAATTCTGCTTGTTGGATTGATCACTATTTATAAGGCTCGACTAAAGTAGCAACTTTTTTTAACTGTTCTAGTTCCATCAGTGGAATCCCAGTGCACTGTTTACATTCGTAGCAATAGACATAACACGCCTTACGCTCTGAAGGGAACCTGATGGTTGACAAGTTCCTTTTGTTATGTAACTTATATATTTTGTTACTGTGGTAACTGAGTATAATGCGTCCAGGAGGAGCTGCTGATACGGCAAATTCTGCTGAAGTCATCTTCTCTAGTCGTTTTTCAAAACTTAATATAGTTGTATTTTTGTGAGAGAGTTGCTTCCTAAGGTGTAGTGTGAAGTGATGGCCACTTGCAGTAGGAAGCCAAGACGACTCATCACCAAACTAAGGGCTTATTAACACTTACAGCTTCCTTGTTCTAATTGTTTCTGACCTTCGCTATTGCGCAGCTACTTGTGACGAAAGTTCATTGTCCGTTGCTCTTTGTTTTTCTTACAGTGTTTTTTTCCTACTAATATAACTTCCATTACTTGTTCGGCTTCCACTACTTCGTACTATCATGAACACACCAGTATGTCCGAAAGTCTTTTGCACATCTTTTTCTTCGTAGTTAATAGAATCTATATTGCAAAGGAACTTTACCATGCTGCAATTTCATCACATAAGTTTTTACACCTTTCGGGAAAACTTACCTTAATCCATGTCGCTGGAAAAACAGTTTCCGACTGCAATAAAAGTAAACAATGATAGCGCTGTTATTCATGATTCCGAAACCAAGACTGATGGTTTAACGACAGATTATTTGAGGGAAACCAATGTCAACTTGGAGGACAAAATGTTCCAGCAGTAAAGTTTCTGATTTGCGCAAAATCACACCCGGAACTTACTTTGTGGGACAATGATAAGTTCTGTTTGTTTGAAAACTCAATAACTTTATACTGAACTAAGTCGATATTTTAAGTCAATAATCAGACACTAGGGCCATTTATACGAGGAAAAATAAGACGCGTCTTACATAAGACGCGTCTTAAATAAGACGCGAACTGTACCATTTATACGAGCATGTCTTATCTAATAAGACGCGTCTTAGCTAAGCCGCGTCTTATTTTAGACGAAATGTGCCGTGTATACGGAAAGTTCGCGTCTTATTTTTCCTCGTATAAATGGCCCTACTGTCTACGACCAATGTAGAGTTAAGGGCTATAATGCGTAAGATTGTGCGTGGGAAAAGAAAAACAGTTGACTTCCTATATACTAGGACTTCCTAGCTAAATGTCCTTCAAGGTCAATAACTCGTTGATTAATAGATAGTTACCAATATTTAGGAAGTTAGAAGTTTCCAGAACCTAAAAAGCTTTCTACACAAAAGTGACGCATTTAGTCTTGTAACAGTACGAGCAATGACTTGCTATTGAAAGCTAATTATAACTGTGATTTAAAAAATGAATATTGTTATTTAGACATTTCCGCGTCTGCTACCTTGTTTAACCCTAAGGGTGGGTTTCTACTGTCACGAAATTTTTACTTTCATGTACACGCACGTAAATTTTACTCGTTGATTTTCGCTCAACTTCACGTTTAAGCTCAACACTTTGTATCTTGCCTCTCTTTTATTTACGTGAATAAATTTTACGTGCATGTACACGCACGTAAAAATTACTCGACGGTAGAAATGCACCCTAAGGGGCTGATTACATGAACCGGGCAGGCTCGCTTTGCCAAGAACTCGGCGCGTTAGTTAAACGCAGCAAAAATCAACTTTGTGATACATGACAAACGAGCCAGTCCTGTTAGCTGGGATTATACCGAGATCCCGGCTAACTGGGCTGGAAATTTTCCATGTAATAACGCTCGCCTGGTCAGCCCGGGGAACCAAACCAGCAACAGGACAGCGGATAACACAATGCGCATGTGCATGTGCATGCGCATTGCTTCCAATCTCTTTGTAAACATGACATTTCTTCATGTAACACCAGGATAACAGTTACCTCCAGCACGGAAAAGCGAGTCAGCCTGGCAAACGGGCCAGCGGGCCAGCCCGGCTCATGTAATCAGCACCTAACAGTTAATTCTTCATCTCTTCCATCTCTTCTCTCCCTAGTATAAGCGAAAGGTTTTTTATTTTTCAAATCCGTGATGTGAGAATCGCGGGGTGGTGCTGCGCCTGACAATGGACCTCTGGTCCTAAGGATCTGGGAAAAGAAACATTCTTTAAGTTTAGTCTCGAAAAGAGAATGCTCTTTCCTTCTTTATGTGTACATTCTGGAAGAACTTTATTATGTGAACGGGCGGCTAAACACATTAGTTTGGGTCACTCAGGTTTTGTGCGGGTTAGGTACTGTTTTTGCGGACGTAATTGCCATGAATGTTTCAGGGTTTAGCAGCGCAAGAAACAAATGATTTCTTTTAATTGAATCAGGTCAAATACACTTTGCTTCCCAGGTGGCAATTTTTTCTTCGGAAACAGGTGTTTCATAGTTAAGGCATCTTCAGAAAATTGATGTCTTCACAACAAGTTTTTCCTAGCTTAGCCAGATACGAAGCAGGTTAATAAGGAAGAAACTATTTTTTTTCTCTACAGGATCGTTCAGACACTGAAATGGCCAGATTGCCAAACCGGCCTCCCTCGGTTTGCGCGCTGTCACCCCAAGAACTCTCATACGAAACAGTTGATGTTGACAAAGTTTACATCCCAACTCATGCGCTTTTGATCGCCGAAAACGAGTTGATATTTCTTGCGATCGCGAGCATTTTGAAAGATCGAAAGGCTGTGCTGATTGCAGGGGCCGGGTATATCTACTTCGGAAAAATCAATTTCCGCCTTGTGTTTTTACTCAAAGCTCGAGGCGAGCCATCTGCAGTTGTCCAGGCCATCAAATTACTCAAACCAAAAGCTGGAATCTTTCTCGGGTTCGGGAAATGTCCTCATAGCAGGACGTACGAGATCGGGGACGTGATTGTGGCAGAAGCGATAGTTCGAAAGAACCCCAAACTTGGAAAACCTGAAAGCCTAGCGTGCAGTGAATGTTTGATCAACGTTTTCGAAAATGGCAAATATGGCTGGACACCGCCCAAGTACCGCAAACAAGCTGTCCATGTTGGCAAAGTATTTCAGATGGGAGATCTCACAAAGAATGAGAAAACCAGTGCAGTAGCTGTGAAAACTTCGACGTTAGGTCAGTATAGTGCTCACAAACATAGACTTTAACATAAAAGGCATCGCTCACTAGCTTGCGCACCATTCGAGAATGAAAAAATAAACTAACAGACTGTGACGATCGTAACAAACATTTAACAATTTATCGGAACACCGGTAGAAAATGACACTGATTGTTACAAACTTTAATTTTTTACGGTTGACTTTTTTGCGACTGAAAGTTACATTTTGGAGGTTTAACTGCCAAAGGATCCCCATTGAAGACCATCCGTGACGGACATAATTTCTGTTTTATGTCATTACTTTACTGTTTACGTCCGTGTCACAGTCGACAGAACATTACAGTCATTACATTGGCGGGGCAAACAATCCCGTCAGCTTCACTCATGTTCTTTAAGAACCATTAATACAACCCTTTGTTAAGACCTTGTCGGTATGCTATTGCAATGTTACAATCTACGCCTATATAAATACCCTTTTCGAGGAACAACAACAACAACAATCGCTAATCATAATCGACCAGGCTAATGAAAGTCTTAGCGCAGGATTCAGCTGGGATATTTCGGTTTTATACGTTCATTGACAATTTTGTTACTTAAGGTTCATGGAGTTTTTGAAGAAGCTGTGAACCCCATAAAATGGAAGCGTGAAGATGATGCAAAATAGCTTCATTTATAAAGTTGACATGTTCTTTTCGCAGATATACTTGAATGCTGCGAAGTCCTGGGAAAAGAATGGATCTCAATTGTAGGCGTGATTGGCACTCAGCGTTACCATGGAAACTCTACTTGGAAGCAATACGTAGCAGCGGTCTTGAGCTCACTGGTGAATAAGGTGCTACAGGATGACCAAGTGTTTGCAATCTTAGGAGGAGAGTGTGGGGAGCCCACACGACACAGTCCCCTCCCTGGAAACCCTCTGCAAGAAACAGTTTCTCTTAAAAGTAAGCTGGGATCATTAAATGGGTGTCAGCTCAACCTCTTTCCCAGGGTCTGGTTGCTGCTACTCTCCTTTTTTCCCAACCTCTTTTTATGATTAATATTTGTTTGACTCCCTGGATATTTGCGATAAGTAATTACTAAGGAAGAGTTTGATAAAGGATCTTTGTTGAACTCACGGTCTTATTAGCTGTTCTCGTAAATAGCTTCCTTCTGAAATTAATGCCTTCCGGCTTTGGAAGGCTACGAACGTTTAGCAAAGTTAGTTGATAGTGATTTCTTGAAAACAGTTAGCAGAAAATAATCGTTTTTGAGTCATAAGCCAGGACTTTAAAGAAGATGACACTGTTGCTATGTTTCTAGTTATTCCAGTTAAACGAGTTCAAACTTAAGGTGTGTAAATTCTTTTCTTAGACTGACTGAAATTGATCGGGTATTATTTGATGGCATTATTGTACTGTCGACTAGTTAACAGTGTGCGTGTTGTTTAATCGAAGTAGTATTGTCAGACACTTAAAATACCACTTTCCATCTTTTTACAGAATTTCAGCTTACTGGTTCAGACTTGTCCCTCCAGGAGGGATTGATCCGGAGACAAGCAGAGATGCACTGGACACAAGTGAAAGATGCATATGATAAAGGTTTCTTCCACCTACCAGGTCAACACAAAACCCAGTCAGACATCTTGCTGCAAGAGGAGTTCAGTATAACACCAACTATTAAATCACCAGTAGAAAATAGCGAAGAATTAACTGACAAGGCTAATAGCTTACTGGCTATACGGGTGCGTGAGCAAGCGTCAAACGACGTCTCGGCAGATGGGAAACCTCCATATCTTGAAACAGGAAGTCGAGCACTTTATAGGGAACCGAATCGCGTAACTCTTCCACCCCTCCGCTCTTTGTCTACCGGGAATCGTAGGACATCTCTCCAGGATAACCTGACGAGCCATGCGCTAACGTGTCCCACGCTGACCTCCAGTATGGCTGTTACCATGCAAGCTGCAGTGCTTCCAATAGGCGCCAACCTACAGACGCACGGCAGCTGCCTTGAAATAATCAGGATCAAGACTGAGGAGAGGGCAACAGTGAGAAGACAAGGAGTAGTTCTCCCTTCCCTAACCCGGCAGAAGAAAAGGGTGTGATGTGTAGTGCCAGTTTGCGAGTAAACGTTTCCGTGACTTCTACAGTAACAGTTGTAGATCACCGACTTGTCAATGAACTTAAAAGTTCATGATAAATGTCATAACAGGCCAACCAAAAAACGAGTATAGTACAATGGCTCAGTTAGTTAGAAATTAATCCAGTCGACGTTTAAATTCCTGAATTGCCAAGCGGGGGTTATGCTGATTTATCCTTCAACTCACAGAGACAGTTATGTTCTAGACATTAGTATCTGTATTTGCACTTTTTCCTCCATTTCGTATCAATTATAACAATTTTATAACAATGTAAGAAATAAATGAAAAAGGGTGAGACATACCGTAATTGTGTGTAAGCTAATTATAGCAATATCATTCCGGTAAGACCATCAAGAGAAGATGTCCTATCCTCTCCAAGTAACATCCAACACTAGTGTTGGACAAGGTACGTCAAAGCTTTTATATTTATTCCAGGGGCGGATCCAGGTATTTTAGTTCTGGGGGCCTCAACTTGTACTCCCAGGTGAAGCCAATAATTTTAATCCTTCCACGCCGTTGCACATTGATCTCTACTACGTAGACCTATGCCGTCATGATACACGCAGTAATGTGACATTCTACTCGTTACGAAACGAGCTTTGAAGCAATCGTCTCTTCTTTTAAGGGGTACAATAACTTTTTTCAATATTAAACTTCATAGTTTCATAGCAACGGGAAATGCACGTTCTATTTTTAGGCTACGGGATGAAAGCCGTAAGCGACCTTTTGGGGATATTTCGGGGGTTATTTTAATTTTATAGCAGTAAGTTAAGTACTTTGAAACGTCTGCGGTCCCTCCGACCCTCCCCTTGGAGAACTAGGATTCAAGGACCAGTCGCATAAATCTAACGTCAGACGGAACTGCCTTTCTCTGGCGTTAAAATAAAGAGTTTGAATGGGCTGAACGTCAGATGGAGTGCTGACTTCTGGCGTTAAAATAAAGAGTTTGAGTGGGCTGAATGCCGGGAACTGCTAAGGTCTGGCGTTAAAATGAAGAGTTTGACTAAGATGATGATGTAGCTGGTAACGTGTTAAAACAAACAGTTTGGATGGGATGAACGTCAGATGTTTGCTGTTACGTGAGACGTTAAGATTTATGCATTAAAGGCGTACTTCGATTGGGGTAACTATGTTGCTTAGATACAAAAGACATGGAGGCATGTAATGTCATAGCTGTTACTTTTGTCTCCAGTGTGGATGAATTTGTATGAAGTGATCGCGCATTCAAGTGAAAACTTTTTGTGCAATGGGGGACAAAAGTGTGGGGGCCTTTTTCCTAGTAATATTAGTAAAATTGGCGACCTCACCCCTCCTACCCAAACAAAATTAACTTTTGAGCAAAGTGGATATTTAGGGCGCGACATCGCTGGGGGAGTTGAAGATGAAGGAATGAACCCAAAGCCCATCACAAAATTGTCATTAGGAGCAGAGTCGTAAGTAACAATTATTAGGGAAGGATTTTTCCAGCTGTCCCAAGTTCTTTTGACTGCCATTATGCACAGTGGGTTTCACACGACACTATGTTTTAGGATTTTACAAAATGAGATGTCTTGAACTCTGATTTTGCATGGCAACTATAGGAAAAGCTGAGATGAAAAATAGACCGCTCCGTCAAGAAAAGCTAAGTGGGTAAGGGGTGTACGACTAAAAGTGATATTACCTGTTTAATAAGGATTTTTTTTATTTGCGATGTTTTAAATTTATCATAAACATAATTGTTGTTTACATTGTCGTGATCCTACCTTTTGAGACCACCCTTAACTACCTTATGGTTTCATTTGCGAGCGATTTGTCATGGTCTGATTTTACAGCCCCAATAATTCCACTCAGCCCAGTACTTGTCTAATTTTCGAATAGTCATCCTTGTAAATTGCTTGAATAAATAGTAATATAGTAGTAATATAGTAATTATAGTTTATTGAAACTCTCTTGCAGTACAAGAAACTCAATTAACGAGTTAAATTGCATTGTACTACAATAAAAATTAATCATACTGTCTAGTTAAAATATCGAAACGTAAAAAAAGTTATTCTGCCCTCTTTGTCCTACCGGTAATAGACTCAATAAACAAATAGAATCTATCTGCGTTCTTCCTTAGATTGTACTGGGGCTGATTAAAGAGTTGCCTTGGCAATAAGAAGTGTAAAGGATGGTCTTTAGACTTCATCTTATCCATGTACTTAACACAAAGGTCATCTCTTCCGGTTTTCTTTAATTAGACTTGGTATGTTTGCTAATTGCAAGGCCTCCGTATGGGACTCACTTTCAGGGTAAGAAATCCTCAAAGCCCTTGTTTGGACTATAGCCTGACATACAGGGACAGCATGCTAATACAGGTATTACTGTACTTAGATAAACTTTAAGAATGTTATCTTGGGCCACACCAGCCCTACATAATATCCTAAGAGAGTATAACTTCTTGCTGGCTTTCTTGACCATGAAATCTACATGGTTATTCCATTCAAGTTCATTGAGTTTCAATCCGGCTGACCAGTTTGGGTATTTGAAAGGAAAAATCTACCCTTGCACAGCTTGTAAGTTACTCATCACCACTATTGGTGCCTATCAACATAGTTCCTACTGACACGTATCAATTAAGCTGGGTTCGATTGATAGAGGATATTACACGCGACGGTGGCGCGAGGATATGAATTTTATTTTCGAGTGGCTTTACGATCGAGCGCAGCGAGTGAGTAAAATATTGTTTTTGCCACTCGAAATGTTTGGCAGCATTTGTAAGACGCCTTCAAATTTCGGAGGGAATTACCGAAATTACGTCATCGATAAACTCACGTGTCAGATTTTGGAAAATAACCCAAAACTTCGATGTTTGGCTTAGAGGCTTATTGAATATTATTTTTATTATTGATATGAATGAAATAATAATTAAAGAACATGATATTTTCACGGAATAAGTAGTGTTGAAATTCAAGAGGAAGAATGTTTATCATGGATTGTTTGAGAATTAATGCCCTGACACCTCTTTATCGGTACTTGAAATGTGTGGAAATCTAATACATAATCGTTTTAGGCTATCCAGA